AACCAATCCTCCACGATAGACAAAGCAGTCTCATGAAATACACAAGGCTTGCCCAAATTCCTTTTGGTTTTTTTGTAGTGTTGGAGTTTTAAGCCAGGGAACAGAGACAAGAACTGTTACTACTGAGCAGCAACATCAGCCCCAAAATCTTGTATCCCTCCTATTGTCACTGAGCAGCTTTCAACACCTTACTGCTTCTGACCCAGGCACTAACATTTAACTCTTTTCACTGCCCTTAAGCTTAAAATGTTACTTAAAAGAGTTGAGTATTAAGATGTTACTAGATGGGGCTGGAGAGATGGCTCAGTGGTCTAAAGAACCTACTTGGAACAAGCTTGACAAAGCATCAGGGACCACGGTTCAATCCCCCAGCACCACATGCCAGCCAGCCCCGCCCCCTGGTGGGCTGAGCTGGCCACACACACACACACACACACACACAATAAATAAATAAATAAATAAATGTTTTAAGATGTTACTAGAATTGGGCCAGTCATATCAGAGCGTCTGCTTAGGTAGACGCAGGAGCCAGGTTTGATGTCCAGCATGCCATGCTGTGCCAGGCCCGTCCCCAGGGCATGCTGAGTCAGAGACTGAGACTGGGCATGGGGGTGAGTATCTGTAATCCCAGCACTTGGGAAGCTGAAAACAGAATCACTGCAAGTCCAATCTGTGTAGTGAGACCCTGTAGAACCAGTACCAAAAAAAAAAAAAAAAAAATTTACTAGAACTGTAAGAGCTAGGACTTAAAAAAAATTTTTTTGGGGGGGCGGGTACTGGGACTTGAACCCAGGGACTCATCCATTCTGGGCAAGTGCTCTACTTCTAGAGTAGTATCCCCAGCTGCTACTGCTCCCTCCTCCCCCTCCTGTTGTTAGTTTTGACTGGCTCAGAATGCCTTCAAGGCATGTTTGGCTAGCTGCAGTTGTGGGTTTCGATGTTGTTGGTTTTGAGACAGGATCTGGCTATTGTCCAGGCTGGCCAGGAACTTGTGATCCTCCTGCCTCTGCCTGAGTAGCTGGAATTGCAGACAAATACTATGGTGCTTAGGTTAGATAAGGCTATTCTCAAACCACAGGTCCTGGTGGATCCTTATAGATTTTCTAAGTTTTCTTCTTCCTTAAACCAGAAGTTCCAGAGAAATACATTCAAATTCCAGAAAGCAAGGTCTAGTAAAAAGTTCATTCTTCCACTAGTTTTAAGATGACTTAATAGGTTGCAGGTCCTCATTTTATGTATTAGAAATTTTCTTTTCTCTGGACTGTAAACACCAAATGTGTAATTTTTATTACAGGAAATCCTAAAACCCCAAAGCCCCAAAGGGCAATCTTATCATAATACAACAGCAACAGTGGGTATATTATGAGTCAGAATGGCAAGAGAATATACTTTTCCTTGTATGAAGAAATCTACTCTTCAGAAGGAATAAGGATTGGCACTTGCAATAATGAGGGTGGCACACCACACTTACCTAAGATGAGAAATCATTCATTGAGAGCCAGGTACAATAGCACATTCCTTCAATCTCAGCACTTAGCAAGAGAAGTTCAATCCTCAGGACTATTTATTTTTTTTTACTGAGAAAAAAAAGTATATATTTAGAATTAGCCAGCTGGACTCAGTTTAGATGATCCCAATTTTGTTGGCAACATCCAATGCATCATAATCAGGAGCCAGTCGAACATATGCCTTCTTCTCTCCATCAGGCCTGATTAGGGTATTGACCTTGGCAACATCGAT